TGAGCCCAACAGCGCCCGTGCGTGCCCCGACTGCGCCTAGCCGTGTCCCGCCCAGGCCAACAAGCAGCCTGGGGCCGTCCCAGGTTTTTCTTGTGTTTTTCCCAAACCCTTGTGTGTGTCTTTGACCCGTTTGACCTTGCTTTGCGTGTTATATCTATATGTGGTAATTATATACGTTTTTATCAAGTACAAGTGTTAGGTCCGGATGTTCCAATGTCCACAGAACATCACGAAGTACTTAGTTGAATCAAGTTCGACCAATGTATGATTGTATATGTTCTTTAAGGTAAAATAGGTGTTGAACTAAGTCACATGGAGTGCTTTCGACACGTACTCCTATTGTCTGGTTGACGAGCTAAGTCATATGGCGTGCCCTCGAACAGGCCAGCGGTAGTCTAATGATAGGTGTGTACATATGAGTAATGAAATTGGTATTTGTGATTGGAGATGTGACATGTTGATTGATTTATTTTCATACTGCGACCATACCATCGGTACATGTTATTTATGTGCATAGTAGTGAGCATTAAGTTCCTTTTGTGCTCACTCTCACCTGTTATTCACAGATGTAGGTTAAACATGTGTCAGGTGACGAGGAAGGACGAGTGGGTCGATCTTATAATTATGATTATTTATGATTCCCCATATGAATGTTTTAGTGTTTGGAACTTTGTTTTGGGTTAAGACATGAAAACTCCTGTTTGAGTATTTGAATTTTTGGGATGTTTTGATGTACCTAATGTCAATTAGTTATCATGTGTTTGGTTATCTCATGCCTTCGTTTATGAGCCGAATAATTTATGTTGAAAATCGGGTTAATGAAAACCTTGTGAAAAACTGGGTAATGAATCCCCGAGCAATCAGATATGACTTGGTTGATGTTAAATGTTGATTAACGCCCATTTTTTCGAAACGAGTTCTAAAAATTATTTACTGGTTTTTGGAAAGTCCAAAATTTCATCAAAATCAACGTGGGGTGTTACACCAGGTAACGGTTATGGTAGCACTCCGAAACATGATTTCGCAAACTAATCAGTAAATTTTATTACAAGGTTTTGCGAAAATTGAACTCTGATATTTATGACATAATGGGGTGTTACAGTTGGTATCAGAGCACGTTTCTGCGTCTCTGAATACTTTTACAGGTCAGAAATGTTTGAAAAACCTGAACACGTCACGCTCACGCCCTGCCGACTACAAATAAGTGTTGATTTATGTTTTAAATTATAAACAAATTACTATGTCTATGCTCAGAAAACCAAAGTTATGACTTAGTTAAGATGCTCGAGTCATGTTCAGGATTCATAGTCCAAGTATGTTATGGATTTCATGTCAGTTTTTCAGGCCATGTTAAGCAACTCGTCAAGAGATTTGTGTGCTTTATTGATCATCTAAAGTATTTTCCCTGTGTTTGATAATGTTGAACATTTCCAATATTCAGATGCCGCCACGTAGGGATCCCGATCATCCGACGGTCCCCCAGGACACAGTAGTCGCACAGTTTTGCGACTATTATCCCGAGAAATTCTCCAGCCAGGGAGATCCCTGAGTCGTTGACGAATGGGTTCAGGGCCTTGAAATGATTTTCGACGTCATGGACTGTCCCGACCGCTATCGTGTTCTATGCGCACAGATCCAATTGATGGGTGACGCACGTCTCTGGTGGAACGCCTACTGGGGAATGCGTCCAGGTGAAAAAGAAGGTTGTACGTGGGACATGTTCAAGGAGTTACTTCGCGAGAATTATTACCCCGCGTACAATCGAGCCGAAATAGAGCGTCAGTTTCTGTCACTCCAAAAAGGTACTCGTACAGTGGACGAGTACGAGCGAGAGTTCACTCGACTTAGAGCCTTTGTTCCCGATCTGGTGAGCACCGAGGCAAAGAGGTCGAGACGTTTCACTGATGGGCTTTTGCCATTAGTCCGTCATAACATTGTAGGCTATAGAGCCCAGTCCTATGCCCGTACCGTTACTATAGCTCAGGAGGTTGACGCCAGCATCTGGAGAGAGACCAACCACGATTGTCTTCAGCCATCTGCCCTTGCCCAATCATTCTCAGCACCCCCCATGCCACCAGTTGTTGCCCAACAACTGAAGGACAGGAAGAGGAAAGGGTAGGGCTTTCAGAATGAAAGGAGGAACCGTTAGAGACAACAAGGTGCTGCCAGGCCACAGAAGATCCCATCATGCACTACTTGTGGACGACCTCATCGTGGAGAGTGTCATTTCAGCCAGGATATTTGCTATTATTGCCATCAGCCCAGATATTTTGTAAACAACTGCCCAGAGTGACCGCATCCACGACAGGAGCCACAGCAGTAGCAGCAGTAGCAGCCCAGACAACAAGCCCCGAGGTCACCCCAGCAGCAATAGTAGAAGGGCAGACAACAAGCTCATGTTTATGTTGTTGATCAGGTCGAGGCAGAGAAGCACCCAAGTACTATGTCTGGGATAATTATGCTTAATGATGTTCCTGTCTTCGCTTTATTTGATACTGGTGTGACTCACTCTTTTATATCGCGACGATGTCTGTTATGCCATTGGAGTACATTCTATTACCGTTGTCTATCCTCTCGAGGTGAGTTTCACCTCGGGACGAAAAATAGTGACTGATACCAAAGCTACTGATCTCAGCCTTTCTATCGGTGGTCGTATCTTGTCTATCGACGCTTACGTTCTCGAAATGAGGGACTTTGACCTCATTCTCAGTATGGATTGGCTAACACATTTCCATGAAGATATTTGATGCCATGATCGGGAGATTACTCTGGATCTTCCGGGATATGAACATATTATTTTCTATGGCACCAAGACTCGTTCTTTACCTCATGTTATTTCCACGGCGAAAGCCAAGAAAATGTTACGACGAGGCAATTGTCAGGGTTATCTTGTGAGTCTTGTCAGCGATGAACCGAAAGCACGGACACCTCACGTCGTTCCTATTGTTCGTGAATTTGTGGATTTGTTTCTGGACCAACTTCCAGGAGGACCACCTAAGAGTTCTCTATTGATCTTATTCCATGAGCCGGCCCAGTTTCTAAAGCACCTTATCGAATGGCGCCGAAAGAATTACAAGAGCTTAAGGCCCAAATTCAGGAGTTATTGAAATTCGGTTTTATCCGCCGAGTATTTCACCATGGGGAGCACCCATTTTTTTCGTCAAGAAGAAGGACGGTTCTATGCGCATGTGTATCGATTACCGAGATCTCAACCGATTAACCATCAAGAATAAATATCTGCTTACCAGAATCGACGACTTGTTCGACCAGCGGAGGGGAGCCTGTGTGTTCTCCAAGATTGATTTACGATCAGGTTACCATCAGCTGAAGATCAAGGAGTGTGATATTGCAAAGACCGCTTTTCGTACTCGGTACGGTCATTATGAGTTTGTAGTCATGCCATTTGGCCTCAACAATGCTCCAGCAATATTTATAAACCTGATGAACCGTATCTTCCATCCTTATCTTGATGAGTTTGTTATTGTTTTCATTGATGACATCCTAATCTACTCCATGAGCCAGAAGGAGCACGAGGAGCATCTGAGGGTTGTTCTTGAAACCCTTAGACGTGAAAAGTTATATGCCAAATTCTCCAAATGCAAATTCTGGCTCCAGCGAGTAGCCTTTCTTGGCCATGTTATCACTCAGGCAGGTATCGAGGTTGATCCATCCAAAGTTGCCACTGTTCAGAATTGGTCAACACCGAAGAATCCATCCGAGGTTCACAGTTTTCTCAGTTTGGCTGGTTATTATCGCAGGTTTATCGAGGGTTTTTCCAAGATTGCCCTTCCTTTATCCCAGCTGACGAGGAAATCTGTGAAGTTTGAGTGGACTAATCAATGTGAATCTAGCATTCAGGAGCTCAAGAAGAGACTTACCACAGCATCGTTGTTGACTATTCCAAATCCTTCTCGGAGTTTCACCATTTTTAGTGATGCTTCAAGACAGGTTTTGGGATGCGTACTCATACAGGGTAGCCAGGTCGTTGCTTATGCTTCACGCCAATTAAAGCCACATGAACATAACTATTCGACGCACGATTTGGAGCAAGCGGTAGTTGTTAATGCCCTCAAGATTTGGCGACATTATTTATACGGCAGTCAATGCGAGATTTTCACTGATCATAAGAGCTTACAGTATATTTTCACCCAAAAGGAGCTCAACATGTGACAGCGTCGTTGGTTAGAGCTCGTCAAAGATTATGATTGCACTATCCAGTACCATCCGGGGAAGGCGAATGTCGTTGCTGATGCCCTTAGCCGCAAGGTGAAGGGTGACTTGACTTATGTTGTTACTCAGCAGAACCATCTTATTCAGGAGTTCGCCTGGATGCAAATTCGTGTTTTTGATGCACTTCCTACAGCGATCACAGAGAGTGTCAGTGCTATGCAGGTCCAACCAACGTTGAAGGAAAGGATCCGGCGGGAGCAGGCTTCTGATGAATTTTTTCGTGCCATTGATGCCAAAGTTCACGCCGGAGGAGTTGAGGGTTTTCACCGAGGCACTGATGGAGCCTTGGAATTTCGAGGCAAGATTGTTGTACCAAAAGTTGATGCGTTACGGAAGAAGATACTGATCGAAGCTCATACCTCACCTTATTTAGCCCACCCAGGGAGCACGAAGATGTATCACGACTTGAAAAGGTCGTTCTGATGGCGAGGGGTGAAGAAGGACGTAGCCGACTTTGTGAGGAAATGTTTAACCGATCAGCAAGTCAAAGCCGAACACAAGAGTCCCTTGGGCCTTCTACAACCACTACCGATTCCGAAGTTGAAGTGGGAGGAAGTTACGATGGATTTTGTCTCAGGGTTACCAAGGTCGTCTGAACATCACGATGCTATTTGGGTCATGGTGGACAGATTGACTAAGGTTGCTCATTTCTTACCAGTATCATCGAACATGTCTTTGGACAAGTTAGCTGAGATTTATACCCGTGGAATCATTCGACTCCACGGAGTGCCCGTTACTATCGTGTCAGACAGGGATCCCAGATTCACCAGCAGATTCTGGGAGAGTTTGCACCAAGCGATGGGCATGCGATTAGAATTCAGTTTGGCTTACCATCCAGAGACTGACGGACAGACCGAGTGGACCATTAAGACATTAGAGGATATGCTTCGAGCTTTGGTTGTTTATAGGGGTGCTAAGTGGGAGTCGTTATTGCCATTGGTCGAGTTCCCGTACAACAACAGTTATCATGCTTCTATTCAGATAACTCCTTACGAGGCACTTTACGGTCGTAAGTGTCGTTCCCCTATTTATTGGGACGATTTCGATGAGCGTCGAGTACTCGGTCCAAAGATGATCAAGGAAACAGTAGAACAGGTCGAGTTGATCCGGCAGAGACTCAAGACAGCTCAGAGTCGGTAGAAATCATCAGCCGATCAGCATCGATGAGATATCCAGTTTGAGGTTGGGGAACGAGCCTTTCTTAGAGTTCATACGTTTCGAGGGATCATTCGATTCGGGAAGAGAGGGAAGTTACATCCTCGTTTTATTGGCCCGTTCGAAGTTCTCGAGCGAGTGGGCGGAGTTGCTTATCGATTAGCCTTACCTCCCGAGTTGTCCAATGTTCATAATGTTTTCCATGTGTCCATGTCATGCAAGTTTGTGTGCGATCCAGATCATGTCATTCAGCATTCCGATATTCAGATCCATCCAGACTTATCTTACGAGGAGAGACCGGTAGCTGTACTGGACTGACAGGTTCGTCGGCTCCAGAAGCGTGATGTTCCCCTCGTTCGTATTCATTGGGATCGCCACAGAGACACTTGGGAGCAGGAGGCTGATATCCGCGCTCATTTTCCTGATTTCTAGTTTTGATGTATATATTTTTCTATGTTCCATGTATTTAAGTTCCATTTTGTATTTCCTAGGACGGAAATATTTTAAGGAGGGCAGATTGTAATAGCCCATTATGTTATTAATGTAAATTACGTGTTAGTTCCGAAATATTTATTTTATCAAGCGTTATCATTCGGAACTAATTATTCTAGTCGAGAACGTTCAAATTAATTTTTGAATTCATGTTCATGTTTGAAATATTTTCTAAAGTATTTAATTTTATCGATCATGCACTAATTGTCCTTGTTGCACGCTAATAGCCTTTGGCTTGTGCAACCATGCTTAAGGTTGGTTTAAGCACATCTAATGCGTGCTTAGTCCAAATTGCCGTAAGAAATTTTTGAGAAAATGTTTCACGTGAAGTACCATCATGACTACTAGTATATGCGGCTTATTCTTAAGGCTTAAGTCATCGCTAAACATTGTACGCCTAGTCACCTCAATGCACGGCAAGTGGCAGAAGCTCATTGGCTGTGAGCTTCACTTCAAATTTTCACCCAAAATTCATCTACCTTCCGTCCTTATATTAAGATGAAGAGTTGGTAAATTTTACCTCATACTACCAGCAAAGTTTAAGTGAGCTTTGAGAAAGCTAAGACAAAGTTAAGCAAGCGTTAGAGAGTTAAGCTAGTTTAAGATACTTCCATCGCACGCACGCACGTAAGACGCACAAGGGACGAGTTACCTTGGAAATTTGGTACAATTGAACGAGCACCGGAAGAGGTAATCTCTTCTTACCTCTATTTCAATGTTAATGTAAGCATGCTAGGTTCAAATCATAAAGTTGAGTCCATGAATATGTCATGTTTTCCCTCGATTGTATAAATTATGCCATGTCGAGCCATGTCCGATTCTATTCGGCAACTCCCAAGCAACTTCCGTTCTTTTAGTCATTATTAATTTTATATATCAAGATCAGTTATGTAAGGATTGTCGAGAAAAGTTTTTGTTTGGCCTAAAAGTTGGCCAAAGCCGTAGGTACCGCACGTAGCGCACGCCACTGCCTACATGTTTCATTGAGTTATGTCCATGGTCATCTGACAGTTTACATATGATTATTCATGATATGTTATGTTAGGTCATTTTAAGTTAATATGGTCGAAGGAAAATGTCAAGTGGCCAAGTGTATCGGTTTTAGTGTCGGGTCGCGCCTACGCACACGCTACAAACCTTTTTCTAAACCATGTAAAGGTCTTTCCTATGTAATTTCACTTAATTTATGTAGTTATGATCATGTTATCTCAAGTCATGTTAATTCATGTTGCAATGGCCGGAGGAAGTCGCCGAACGGTCGGTAAGGATCGGTCGTGGTTGTCATGCCAGCACGTAGCGGGCATAGCACGCCGGCAGTCAGGCAGGTTATGCGGGTGACGTGCGTGCATGCCCAGTTGGGCGTCGCGCATAACTGATGAGGATCGTGTGTTTCGACTGCCGATAAGCCGCTAACCCGCGCCTTGAATCGCCGATAGTGTTTCTCTAGCCACAACTGCGCCTATTGAAACGAATAAAATT